CGTCCCTCTATTGTGCGTAGGTGCCCTGCTGTCTCAGAACCGCTCCCCTTTGGCATGCAGACGCCCATCTTTCGTACGGAGGAGTCGCTGTGGTTCTTAGAGACGGCATGGTGCTCCCAGACGCAGATGGGGCTCTCGGAGTCGACAGTGTGGGACCTTCAGTCGCTGATGGGTGCCCGCCAGATGTGGACCCTTGGAGACACCGGTATGGGGCCCTCAGAGATGCCGGTATGTGGCCTTAGAGACACCGATGTGGAACCCTCAGATACTTCAGTGTGAAGCCCTTACAATTGCTGGTGTGGAGCTATTAATGCGCTGGCTTAAATCCCTCAGAGGCCCGTACATGGACATGGTAGCTCAGTGAGAGCTTGTGTGATGCCTTCAGTGGCCTTGTGGAGCCGTTAGACATCAACATGGTGCTCTCAGGAGCCGGTGAGTCCTCAGAGTCACCGGTGTGGGGCATTCAGAGCTCCGAGATACTGGTGTGGGGCCCTCAGAGGTGTCGGTGTGGGTCCTTCAAATGTACCTATAGAGCCTTGAGATGCACAGGTGTGGTGGCCCACAGAGGCACCGGTGTGGGGCCCCCAGAGCCACCGATATAGGGCCCTAAGAGACACTAGTATGACCCTCAAAGGCGCCGCTGTGTGGCGCTCATAAACACTGGTGTGGAGCCATCACAGGCGGGTGGAGCCGTTAGAGGCCGGAAAGGGCCCTTAGATGCCTACAAGGAGCCTTCAGAAGCCGGCGTGGCACCCTTATGGGGATAAGCGTGTCTACTTAGGAGCCCTTGAGGTGCTCTCATGAGCTCTGTGGGGCCCTACCGAGCCGAAATATGGCCACGGCCAGTTGCCGCCGCATAGCTCTTCGGACTATCATTCTCAGGGGCCTCATGAGTCATGTGCCTAGTTTGAATAGAAGGGCCTCTCAGACCATCAGTCTCATGGGCCTCCTCTGGCTAGTATAAATAGAAGGGTCTGTTAGACCATCAATCCTAGGGGCCTCCTCTGGTTAGTATAAATAGAAGAGCCTCTCAGACTTTGTAATACGAGAAGTAGTAGCCTTTGCTCATATTAATGTTCAAATAATGCACAAAATTGGATATAGTGAAATGATACTGATATTTCGCCTTGCGGCATCATCAGAGTACTCTAGTGTGGATAGAGGGGCCATACTCCCTCTAGTGTGGATAGAGGGGCCTCCCAGACCGCCAGTGTCAGGGGCCTCCCCAGACTAATGTGGATATTGGGATCTCCTCAGATCCACTAGGGCCTCTCAGGCCATCAGTCTCAGGGGCTTCGATGCCGCAAGGCGAAATATCAGTATCATTTTAATATATCCAATTTTGTGCATTATTTGAACATTAATATGAGCAAAGGCTACTACTTCTCGTATTACAAAGTATTTATAACGGTGCTCATCACAGCCATCCATTTCATCAGCCTCTCAGACCATTAATCTCAGGGGGCTCCTGTGGACAGTATAAATAAAAGGGCCTCTCAGACCATCAGTCTCGGGGGCCTCCCTAGAAAAGTGTAAATGTGGATAGAGGGCCCCCTCAGATTCATTATGAGTGGACCTCTCTGACTATCAGTCTCAGGGGCCTCTTGTGGCCAGTATGAATATAAGAGCCTCTCAGACCATCGGTCTCAGGGGCCTCTTCTGACTAGTGTGGATAGAGGGCCCTCCCAGACCACCGGTTTCAGGGGCCTCCAGTGGCCAGTTATATGAACAGAAGGGCCTCACAGCCATCAGCCTCGGGGGCCTCTTCTGACTGGTGTGAATATGAGGGCCTCTCAGACCATCAGTCTCAGGGGCCTCCTCTGCCTAGTGTGAATATAAGGGCTTCCCAGGCCATCAGTCTCAGGGGACTCTTCTGAGTCTCTGACTGGTGCGGGATTGAGGGACCTCCCAGACCGAAAGTTTTGGGGCGGTCTCCTGTGGCCAGTATGAATAGAAGGGCCTCTCAGCCCATCAGTATCATGGGCCTCTTCTGCCTGGTGTGATTATAAGGGCCTCTCGGGTCATCAGTCTTAGGGGCCTCCTCTGACTACAGTGTAGATGGATAGGCCTCCCAGACCATCAGTCTCAGGGGCCTCTTCTGACTATTGAGGATAGAGGGGCCTCCTCTGACTAGTGAGGGTAGGGGCCTCGGCTAGACCGCCAGTGTCAGGGGCCTATTCTGACTAGTGTGGATGGAGGGGCCTCCCAGACCACCAGTCTCAAACCTCTGACTAGTGTGGATAGAGGGGCCTCCCAGACCGCCAGTGTCAGGGGCCTTCCCAGACCAATGTGGATATTGGGGCGTCCTCAGATCCACTAGGGCCTCTAAGGCCATCAGTCTCAGGGGCTTCGACTGACAAGTATGAACAGAGCGCCTCCTTGGATCCATGACGGCCCCTTGGAGTTCGTGCGTGGGGATTCGTGGAACTCATTTTTACCGAGTTTGTTTATTCTGGAAGGTGACGACGTCCTCTCAAATCGAGACGAGGGGCCTCGAGTAAAAAGTGGGTGGGCCAAAACACATGGTTGGCCCCCCCACCTCGAAAAGTGGGTGGGCACTTGCCTACCTGCCCCCCCCCCCTGTTCCTACGCCTATGCCCCGCGATACTCCCTCCCCCAGCGTTTTTGAATAGATTGGGATATAACTCCGGAACTGTTCACCCTGCAGCGGCGCAGAATGATGCATTCAATCGCCTTTTAAAGCTGTTTTGCCATGGCACCTTCGTTTTGACTTAAGTCAACGGTTAAGCCTCCCAAGCCTGAATAAGTTTTGCTGAAAACTACTTTAATAATAACTTCTAAAACAGAGCATTTCCAGCAAAGTTTTACCGGAACTGTGCTTCTCTCGTCATGACGGATCGGATGAGTTTTTATCTTTTAACCAGCGCAGGCCCGAGGGATGTAGTGTCGTATGAACTGACGCTGGAGAGGCCGGCGGCCGACCTGCACCGCGGCGGTCACGTGGGCAAGGTGACGCCGACTGGCCGTGGCCCGGCCGGGGGAGAGCTGGACGAGCGCCGGTCAGCGACGGACGCTCTCGCGTGGTCGAAAGTGTGCAACTGCATTATCATTAGTTTAAGTCTTTGTCCTGTGTTTATATGAACAATATATAGCAACACACCATTGCGGTTTTTGTCACACCTGTTCATTTATCTTTTCCGCAAATGTTGTAGAAATTTCAGACCCAGGTCGCTTAAGGTCAGGTCACCAGGTCAGGTCAAGTGACCTCACCTCAGACAGTTTAGAATCCTCGTCATTGCTACACCGAATGAACGATCGTCTTGAAACTTACAGCGATTGATGAGAGTAACAGTATATACAAAATGTTTATCTCGGAATTTCGATATCGCTGACCTAAGGTTAGGTCAATTTTGCGACCTCTCAATTACATAAGGGAAGGTGGGGTAATACGGACCAGCTAAGGCTTGAGGCCGCACATCTTGCTACACTGCTCTCGTAACTCATATTTTTTTTTATAGTATTTCTGAATGCCCAATCCTTCCTCTTTTGATATGTGCAAATAATAAATTTCAAAGTAAAGATATCTATGTGGTAGCTATACTGCTTCTCACATAGGGGAACATGTCAAAATCTCCGACAAGAAAAAACGCGGGGTAAGACGGACCACCCAGCAGTGGCTGCTATCCATTCATGTTTGGTACACTTATAATCTGTACTCTTGTAAGTAGTTAGTAGAAGTACCCAGAGTGGTAAAATAGCAAAATATTAATCTTATTCTATATAGGTACCAGGATAGGTACCGGGTGAGGTCACATGGAGGTCAGGTCACTGAGGGTCACAATATGAAAATATCATGTGATGCATGTTTTATGGCCCATTTTATATGTCAAATGCAATTATGTGGGTCACGCAGCCTTTGGGGCCAGTTTAGTTTGTTTTGGCGAAAGTCAGGTCAAGGTCAAATTAGGTCAAATTTCAAAGTTGAGATTTTTGCATAAAATGGGTGTCGATTCGATGCAGCTCGTCACGGGATGTTCAATGGTGGTCTTTTTTGCGCTACGTGGTCTAGAATTGCTAAAAAATTGAATTAAAAAATTTGACGTCATCAATTTTGAAGTTTTTTCGCTATAAGTTGACCAAAAAATGTGTCGATCTAAAATTTAATATGTAGATATAAGAGCACAGGGACTATCACATATATTCCGGTTCTTTCAAAATTCGAAAAAAACTTGATCGCAGTTTTGTAGCATCGTGTTTTCTCTACATAACCAAATAAAGAACTTTGAAACTGCTTGGTAGCTGTAGTGTTCGTGAGCGTTTCAAGATTTCATGTTTTTTGCTCATTTTTTGCTCGAACATGACTTCAGTTTGACCTCAATAACTCCCGATCTAAGGTGACCTAAGACTTGAAATTTTGTGTGAAGGTGTCAAATTGATGCCCGGGAAGGTACTGAAAGTTTGGCGGCGCTGTGCGCCGCCATTTTCTTGCTATTTAGGAAAAACCACAGGGGGGGGGGCAAATTGCTCCCCAAAGGGGTGAGGGTTATAGGAGAGAGAGCCTGCTACTCCCGCCGTTCTATTCACCCCCCACCAGGCTACGGCTGAAGTGGGAACCTACCCCACACCTGGTGACGCAGTCGGGGACGACGCCACTCAGGCCACCAGCAAGGCGCGGGTTAAATCTTGTCACCATCAAATACCCTACACGAATGTACATGAGGTAACTATTCTGTTTTCATATCGGGACTTCAGAAGTCGGCGGTGTTCGCCTTACCCCAGGCCATGGGGCAGTGGCCAAAATGCATAGGTTTGAAGTGTTGACAATATCTCCCTTATGTGAACGCCTTTGAAATGAAACGCAATTAAAAGGCAACTTAATAGGGAACACATTGGTATAGAAAGAATCCTTCCAAGTTTTTTTTCCAAGTTCAAAAAAACAAGCGTCGGCATCGTAAGAAGCGTTAGGTGGCCGCTCTGCCCCACTCTCCCATACAAACATTGTACAATCGTGAGATTACATGCACCGGAAAAAAATGAAATAATAATAGAAATGTATTTCTCTTCTCAACTGAACAAGATCCGCAGTTTGTCGCTGAAACATTAGGTCAAACTGTCACTGGGAAAACACTCTAAACACAGCCATAACGGACCAAACGTGCATAACTGGCGCAGAGGCGGGCCAACCGCGCACAGCTGGCGCAGAGGCGGGCCGACCGCGCACCGCTGGCGCAGAGGCGGGCCAACCACGCACAGCTGGCGCAGAGTAGCGTAGAGCCGCGCGCAGCTGGCGCAGAGGCGGGCCGACCGCGCACAGCTAGCGCAAAGGCGGGCCGACCGCGCACAGCTGGCGCAAAGGCACTACGACAGGCCGTTGTACCATTGCCCACCGGCCGGGCGTAACGACGACGGAACGACACTCCGGATTAAGCGACAACACGTCCGCGGCGTTCAGTTTGATCCTGTTGGTCCCGGCCCCGGCCACCGCTGTGGACTGTGTCTCTCAGTGGCAGCCGAGGGTCTGTTCACTCGCTCACCACCTCCTCACTGACGGCCAGGGTCAGCGAGATACCCCTCACTGACGGCCAGGGTCTGCGAGATACTCCTCACTGACGGCCAGGGTCGTCAGCGAGATACCCTCACTGACGGCCTGTGGGCTCCCTCCACTGACGGGCAGCCTCGGAACACTGCCGTCCCCTCCGGCAGCGGCTAGCGGTGGGTGGGGGTGGTCAGTTTCACCAGGCCGCAGCGCGGTGCTGCCCCCCTCCCCCGGCAGCGCGCTCCTAGCGGTGGGTGGGGGTGGCCAGTTTCACCAGGCCGCGGTCCACCACCGACTGGTAGGCGAGGCGGGTCTTCACCTCGGCGGCCGCCGGGTCGTCGAACACAACCAACTCGACAAGCGGCGGCTCCCGCAGACTCTGCTGCGGGCGGGCGGGCGAGCGGGCACACGGTCACAGGGAGGAGCACACGGTCACAGGGAGGGGCACACAGTCACAGGGAGGGGCACACAGTCACAGGGAGGGTCAGACGGCGGCACCCGCAGACTCTGCTGCGGGCGGGCGAGCGGGCACACGGTCACAGGGAGGAGCACACGGTCACAGGGAGGGGCACACGGTCAAAGGGCGGGTCACACGGTCACAGGGCGGGCACACGGTCACAGGGCGGGTCACAGAGGGAGGGTCAGACGGAGGCTCCCGCAGACTCTGCTGCGGGCGGGCACACGGTCACAGGGGGAGGGGTACACGGTCCCAGAGGAAGGGTCAGACGGTCACTTGACGGGATACACGGTCACGGGGTGTAACACAAGGACGAAGAGTCAAGGACACAAGGACACATGGACATTGGACATGGGCCGCACACCTCAGTGAAGGTCTGTCGCGAGTAAAAACCGTCACGTAAAAGGGCCAGGCGAAGAAGGCGGTCCAGCGAGCGGGGGCACTGCAGGGACCGGTGCCCCCTCCAGATCAATCCAAAGAGAATTCAGTGATAATCAAACTTACGGTCACGGCAACCAACAACACTTGTCAAAACTGAGCAATATTCATCGGCCCAAAACGGAACAAAATTCATCAGCCTAGGTTGAAGTGGCTGCATCTCGACATACATAATCCTATGTGCAGCCTATATTGAATAAGAACGTATTTATTTCTCCTCTCCCGGCGCGCTCTCGTCACCGCATTACCTTGACGCGCACCCAGAGCTGTACGTCTGGGTTGAAGAGGCACTCCTGCATGGCACTGAAGGCCTCCGGCGACCACCCGGAAGCGTCGGCGGGCGCCAGGCGGCACAGCTCCACCAGCAGCGTCCAGGCCGGCAGGGTGCGCAGCGCCGCCGGTATCTCCCGCAGACTGCACGGAGGGACGGTCAGATACGAGCCGTACAGACGGTAAGATACCGTCAGATACGGGCGACGCGGCACGGTCAAATAAAGACAGGCAGACACAGATAATGACTTAAGACCAGCGCCCTGCAGTCAACCAGCGTTACACCGCCCACAGTCGGCAGCATTCGGTGACAATCTACGACACATGCCGCGGCGAATTCCAGCAACAATACAGAGTCGGGCGGCGCGCGCTCCGTGGCCTGCAAAGCGGTAGGACAATAGGCGAAAGCAATTTCTTTATTGGCGCTCGATAAGTGTAACTGAAATTTTCCGACATACAGGCCACGGGGTATGTGCGTGCGACGCGTCTCCACTGACCTGGACACGCTGACGGTCTCGTTGTTGCCCCAGTCGACGTACTGTACTGTGGCCCGGTCCTTCTCCAGCGCGGTGATGACAGCCCGGTACCAGGCGTTATCGGCCGAGTACAGCGACAGACACGGAGAGCCTGACACACAGACAGACATATGGTAATGACGGCCCGGTACCAGGCGTTATCGGCAGAGTACAGCGACAAACACGGAGAGCCTGACAGACAGACAGACAGACAGTACCAGGCGTTATCGGCAGAGTACAGCGACAGACACGGAGAGCCTGACACACAGACAGACATATGGTAATGACAGCCCGGTACCAGGCGTTATCGGCAGAGTACAGCGACAGACACGGAGAGCCTGACATATTGAATGGGGTTAAGGGACGGTGCCGCGCATTTAAAGAGACCGACGGCTGGGACAGCCAGACGAATATCTCCGCCAGGTACAGACGGCCACTCCCTCACCAACGCAAGTCATGGCCAAGGACCGGCTGCGACTGGCACCAACCAGTCTTCCCCTATCCCCCGTCTCTCACCGACGCAAGGGTCGCCCAGGGCCGGGTGGGACTGGTACCCGGCTCCCCTTCTCCCGTCTCCCCGTGTTCCTGTCCCTCACCGACGCAGGGGTCGCCCAGCGGCGGCTGCGACTGGCACCCGTCTCCCTCAGTGTCCCCGCCCCTCACCGACGCAGGGGTCGCCGAGCGGCGGCTGCGCGCCGGCCTCGTCCGCCATCCGGTCGGCCAGCTGGTCGATCTCTGTCAGGTGCTGGGCCAGCAGTCGCAGCTGGGGGCTCGGCTCTCCGGCCACGCGCTGCGGCTGCACGAGCAGGCGCGCCGGGCTGAGCAGCGCCGCCACGGTGACGGGCACCAGCACGCCGGCCGGCAGCGCCAGCCGCGGGTAGGGCGAGCGGTGCAGCAGCACGTCCAACAGCGGGCCCGAGGCGCCGGCCGCCGCCGCCGACAGCTCGGCGTCTGTCATGTAGCGCGCGTCACCCATCTTGACCAGCAGCTCGCTGATGTCCAGGCCGCTCTGCGCTAAACGGATCGACACCTGCCAGAGCGGAGAGGTGGGTCGTCAGGCGCAGGACAGGAGGGGTCAGATGGCGGAGCGGAAGGGTCAGACGGTTGCCTAGGAAACGGCCACGACACAATACATCAACACCCTGAGTTACAACTTTACTGCCGAGCATATGCGGCGGGACTGAAATCGTGACGAAGAGACAGGAACGTTTAAACTCACCAGGAAGCGTCGCGAGTCGGCGCTGTGGTGGTATTGCCCCCTCCCCTCACCCCGGGGCGGCGGCCACCCACAAGGAGGCGGCGGGTGCCGGGTGCTGTCAGTGCTGTCGTCCGTATTCCCCCCTCCGCTCCCACGCGGCCCGGATACTAACCAAGAAGCGTCGTGAGTCGGCGTTGAAGTGGTGGATCTCCACGTGACACTCGCGCTCCACGATCTGGGAGTGGATGAAGTTGAGCGCCTTCACTGAGTAGTTGCCGTCCTCGGCCAGCTGCGACGGGGGGGGGGGGGGAGGACCGGTCAACAACACAACAGCTGCCGCGGGGGGGGGTCTGGTCAACAACAGTAGCAGTAACAGCAGCAACAGCTGCAGCGGGAGTCACTGGTCAACAACACAAACAATAACAGCGGCGGCTGTGATCTGTGATCAACAAGAACACAACAGCTGCGGTGGGTGGTCACTTGTCCGTCATATATCTGGTCAGTCAGAGGTCACACTAGGTCCTGGTGTGGCAGAGCAGAGCGAGGGACAGCAGGTCGACAGCGCAAGGAGGACAGGATTGCAGGGGAAGACTGGACAGCGCAGGACAGGCACGTCAGGGGAGCGCAGACGTAGGGGGAAATGGAGTGCAGGGCGGAGACCACAGGGACGGTAGAAAAGGGCTGAGGGCACAGGACAGGGCAAGGCAAGATGTGGAGGGACAGTACAGCCGGTCGCGGCCGGCGCACTCACCGGCACGATGTTGTGCAGCTCGCAGAGCAGCGCCTGGATCGGCACGTACTCCATGATGATGTTTTTGCGCAGCTCAGTCGGACTGACGCGGTCTGTGTTACCGTAGTCGACAAACTGCACCGTCACCTTCTCCTTGTGTACCTGGAGGTACAAACGGTACATGTACAGGTACGGTACAAACTGCACCGTCCCCTTCTCCTTGTGTACCTGATGGTACCGACGGTACATGATACACAGTACAGACGGTACACGGTAAAGTACACGGTACATAGTACAGGTACGGCACAAACTGTACCGCCACCTTTTCCTTGTGCACCTGGCGGTACGGGCGGTTCACGGTATAGGTACGGTACATGGTACAGGTAACGACAGTTCAGGTTACAGGTACAGTCCACAGCAGAAGTAATGTGGGGTTTCAGTCATTGGTATGTTCTGCTTCTGAAGCTTAGGAACGATTAGCCAGACTACCATGAAACTTTGAATGTAGCTTATATGTATCGTCACCCTTGCAGCTGCAACTTTAGCTATTGACATCTTCTTTTCGATCACTCCGCATTAAACAATCGCCAGTCAAAGCCAACCGTTGAGATTGGTAAAACCCTACATTACTTTAGCGGTGGGCTGTACAATACAAAAGGTACACGGTACAGACTGTACAAGGTACAGACGCTACAAGGTACAGATAGTACAGACAGTAAACGGTATAGGTACGGTACAAACGGCACACGGTGCTAGTGTAGAAGCTGTACCTCAGCCACTGTCCAGCCCTCGCCCAGGTGCCGTACCTCTGCACTGCACCCCTGGGGCCGTACCTGCAGTACCCGGGCGCGGTACCAGCCCTCGTCCAGGTAGTATTTGGCGATGCACGGCTGCCCGTCAAACCAGTAGCTGTCGCAGGGCCGCGGCTGGGAGCCCTCAAACTGCGTCTTCAGCGCCTGCTTTATCACATCCAACGTCTCCTTGCCTGAGGATACCCGGTGGCGTTGTGTAAGATAACACCAACCGGAGATAATAACACACTCGAAAACACTACCCGAACCATGATCGCCACTAACTTACATCCCTATTTCAGCGGCAACGCAACAAAACATCACTCAAAAAACGCTATCAGAATCGCTTAGCCCACGTGTCCAAAAACTCAGCCCAGCCCACCTCCTACACCTACCGCGGGTGTAGAAGTGTACGGACGGCGTACAGTGAGACCCACCGAGCGGGTAGGTGTGCAAGCACGGTGTACATTGCACTACGTGGGTGTGAGTACAGCGCACACCCGCCTCGTGGGTAAAAGTGAAAGTAGTAAGTACACCCACCGCGCGGGTGTGTCTTGTAAGAAGTACAATTACCCTGACCACGCGGGTAAGAGGTCAGCAGTAATACCCACCGCGCGGGTATGTGTTAAGTACAGTAATACACCCACCTCGCGGGTATGTGTGAAGTACAGTTACACCTGCACCTCGCAGGTATGTGTGAAGTAGAGTAATACACCCACCTCGCGGGTAGGTGTGCAGGTACAGTAATACACCCACCTCGCGGGTAGGTGTGCAGGTACAGTAATACACCCACCTCGCGGGTATGTGTGAAGTACAGTAATACACCCACCTAGCGGGTATGTGTGAACTGTGAGGTACAGTAATACACCCACCTCGCGGGTAAGTAGGTCAGCAGTTACACCCACCTCTCGGGTATGTGTGCAGGTAGATGGAGCCGGCCATGGTGACGTGTGTGGGGATGGCGCGCAGTCGCGTCTCGCTGGGCACCACGGCCGGCAGCCAGTCCTCCTCTGCCGAGCGCTGCTGCACAAGCTCGGCCGCCTCCTCGGCCGCCAGCATGCTCATCTCCAGTCGGCCCGGCTCGCCGGGCGGCGTCACGCACCCCTCGGCCGGCGCCGGGGCCGCCGACGCCTCCGCCGCCGCCACTGACGAGCCCGCCGCCGACGAGGCCGCAGCGGCGGCGGCGGCCGCGGCGGCGCGCAGCGTGGCCCAGTCGGCGCCCAGCGGAATCTCCTGTGGAGACAGGGGACGGTGTCAGCTCAGCGGGATCTCCTGGTGACGACAGGGGACGGTGTCAGCCCAGCGCGATCTGCTGTGGCACAGGCCGGGACGGTGTCGGTCCAGCGGTCCCCTCCGTCCCCTCTGGCCCCCGTCCTCCTCTCTCGCCCGTCCGTCCCCTCTGGTCCCCTGCCCCCTCTCCCGGCCACTCCGTCCTCACCTGATCCTCCTCACAGGGCGTGGCCGGCTCCTCGGCTCCCAGCGTGCCGTCCGAGGCGCGCGAGCCGGCTCCCGTCTCCGCCGCCGCTCCGTCCAGCTCGCTGGACAGCTCGCCGTCGGCAGACAGCTCGCCGTCGGCGCCCGGTGGACGGGTGCCGCGCACGGCCGGCTGCAGCGAGGCCGCCAGACCGCCCGCCTCCTCCGCGGCGGCGGCGCCGAGCGGGTCGCACAGATTGGCGGACCTGACCGGCGGGCGGGAGGGCACAGGTTAGAGGAGGGTCGTAATCGCCCCCAACTCAGAGGTCACAGGTCAGCGGACACAGCTCAGAAAGGTTACAAGTCAGAGGTCACAGATCACAGCAAACGGGCGGGTGTGTATAACTCGTATGACACGCAGCCATAATCTTAGTGCCGCCCTGTACGAGCGCCTAGATTCAGTTTGTTCACAGCGCGCCGCGCAGGTCCCCAACTGCGGTGTCCGTCCGACGCCCACCGTCCGTCTCTGACCGCGGCGCGACACCCACCGGCTTTTGCTGAAGGCCAGCCCCTGACCCCTGGGCCGGTCCCTGGGTTAGTCCCTGGTCCCCAGCTGTTAGCGCCACCCACCGGCTATTGCTGAAGGCCAGTCCCTGACCCCTAGACCGGTCCCTGCGCACCACTCCAGTCCCTGACTGCTGCACTCACCGGCTGTTACTGAAGGCCAGTCCCTGCTCCACCAGCTTCCCAGCCAGGCTGGTGCGGATGCGGCGCGTCGGCTCCAGCGCGCTGACCGTCTTGTGCTCCTCCGCCTCCAGGTCACACGGCAGCGAGGAGAGCTGAGAGGGACGCTGTCCGCCGGCAGGCTGAAAGACGGGGGTCAGGTCAGGTCAGGTTAGGTCATAGGGCAGCGGGGGACGCTCCCCGCCGGCTGACGGAAGGGAAAAGCCACGCCACAGGGCAGACAGGGCTATCCGCCACATCATGAATACGCTGTCATACTACCATCGTCAAGCTCATGCGACCAACCAGAACGAATTATATACTACAGGAAAAAGTGTAACATACAATAATGAATATTCACCCCGACACGTTCTACTCACCAGTTTGGAGACTAGGAAGAGCTTCTTGGACTTGTCGATCATGTCTTTGAAGAACTCGCTGGCCACGCCGGTCCACACGCCGCGGTCTCCTGAACAGGGGAGCGGGAGGGGGGGGGGGGGCGGTCAGTGCGGCCGGTCCACACGCCGCGGTCTCCTGAGCAGGGAGGCGGGGGGAGGGTAAGTGCGACCAGAGCACAAACCGACAGGACTGGCATCCCATCATAAAAGAGGGCAATCACATGGACCATAGTCAGTGTAACTGTCTCCAGCGTAGGACAGCACTTGACCCAACCAGCGCGACCCCCGGCCATCCGGCCACCCGTGTGGGCCTGACACTGACACGGCCTTCGATACTGCGTCTGATGGTGCACCTGACACTGTCTCTGACACTGACACCTATGACACCGCGTCTGACACTGACCGGCCGGCCGGATGCCGTGCAGGTGACATTGACACCGGTGACACTATGTCTGACACCGCCTCTGACACCTGTGACACTGTCTCTGACACTGACCGGCCGGCCGGATGCCGTGCAGGTGACACTCGAGGGCGAAGGCGCGGTGCTCCTCGAACTGAGCCGCCATCACGGAGATATCACTCTGCTGAACGGTGGCCGTCTGTCCGTAGTCGATCAGCAGAACCTGCGGGGAGACGGCACAGTGCGGTCAGAGATGGAACACACATCTGTACAGAGGCCGTCTGTCCATAGTCGATCAGTAAAACCTGGGGACGGACCATAGCGGTCACAGAAAGTACAAACCCCTGCACGGAGATAACGCGAGGCTCCAATGCCTCAGCTGAGAGGAGCATATCGCTAATAGAGACCGGGGACGTGTAGTCTGTAGATAGGCATGTACATTTTCACTGCACTTCACCGTCAGCACCCTGGGCGAGCACTGCCCGGTGCGGTCCGGTGAGACCCGGCCCGGCAGTGTACTCCACTGCCGGGGGTCAGCGCCGCGCCGCGCCCACCTTGGCCTGGTCGGCGGCCTCCTCCGGTACGGAAAGCACCCGGACGCGGTAGAAGCGCTGGTCGATGCCGCGGCACCGCGCCACCGCCACGTCCCCGGCGCGCCACGAGTAGCCGTGCCGGGAGGGCGCCCGCGGGCCGCCGTACAGCTCCTGCAGCTCGCGCATCATCCTGACGGCGGGAGACGCGCGAGACGGGTTAGCGGGCAGACGGGGACGACCGCCGCAGGAGACGGGTTGGCGGGGACACGGGGAGGGGGGGGGGGGGGGGACGGCAGGGAGCCGCACCGACAGGGGGAGGGAGACTCCTTCCTCAGCGACACAGTCAAAACATGCTTCCAAGGCTAATACAAATAATTCATCTATTTCACGTAATTAAACAAATATTCAGATAGCCTAGAGCGTATCAGTATACTATACCAAAATACCGGAAGCAAACATTTTATTTTTGAGAAATAAGTACTTCATTCTCCACATGCCCGGCACATCACAGCGCTCGCGCCCACATCTCACGGCAGTGAGCGCGGCCCCTGCCCCTCTGCCGCCTCCCCCGCCCCACCCACCCTTTCCCTCCGCCTCTGACCGACTCACCGCTCTAGGGTGGTGATCTCGCCGCGGATCTGGACGCTGAATTTGGCCGGCGACTCGCAGTGGCACACGGCCACGTCCAGCGAGCCGGTACTGGTGGCCACCGGCGCCGCGTCGCCGGCCGACGACTGCGGGACGGTCACAGGTCAGAGACAGAGGTTCGACCGCGCCAGGGCTCAGCCGCCGGGCAGAGGTCAGCGGCGCGCAAAATCAAGCGTAGGTAGGTGGACTCTGTTCGTGCCTAGGACGCAGTGCCGGTGCGTCTACATTGTACCTGTGACGGACGCAGTGCCTACGTTCTGTGATACGGTACCGGTGCGTGCAGTCCTTTCGTACCTGTGACGCGGTACCGATACGCGCAGTTCGTACCTGCGTCCCCGCCCGTACCTGTGAGGCGGTGCCGGTGACCCGTACCGTTCCTGTGAGGCGGCGCCTGTGACCCAGCTCGTACCTGTGACGCTGTACCTGTGACCCGTACCGTACCTGTGACGCTGTACCGGTGCGCTCCGACGACTGGCGGGCGGCCGACGGCGGCCAGGAGGCCACCGACGAGCCGGACGCGGCCGGCACCTCGCGTGTCGGCTCCCAGCCCACCTTGGTGTACTCGACCGTACGCGTGCTGGCGGTACAAACAGAGGGGTACCGGTGTTAGAGGGTACCGGTCCCGACTCCAACCGTACTCGACCGTGCGGGCGCTGGCGGTACGGGTAGACGGGGAGGTCAGCAGGGGCGCCTCCCGACTCCACCCGTACTCGACCGTACGCGTGCTAGGGGTACGGACAGACGTGGAGAATACTGGTGTCAGGACATTCCTCCTTACAGGCGGCAGTCAAGCTGAGCGACACCCAAAATATACAGAACGGCCATGCATCTCTCAGCAGCATATTCTTTACATTTTAATCAGTAACTGACGCCACATACAGGAAACTGCACTCGAATGACCGGGCACCTGGCATGGAAACAGTGTGAACAGGCGACAATTGTTGCCGCCTGTCAGCTATTATAGCGTACAGGCGTACGGGCGCTGGCGGTGTCAGCTATATTATAGCTGACCTCATGGCTGCCTGAACAAACTTGAGCTACTTAAGTGGCCTTCAGGTTGAAATAACTGACCTGGGAGCGGGACCACTGTCTCGCGGGCGGTAAGTGACTGACATACCGGTGTGGTATTACTGAACTGGGGATGTTTCTGGCACGCAGCTCAGCTGTGGGCGGCGCCAACTGGCCTGTCTGGAGCTGTACCAACTGACCTGGGGGCGGTCCCTCGCACGCAGCTCAGCTATTTGGGGCATCAGTTGACCCCTGGGCCGGACTAGTACTGACCTGGGCGCAGCTCAGCTGTGGTGGTGGTGGTGGCCGGTGGGGTGCGGTGCCAACTGACCTGGGGTGCAGTATTAGTACTGACCTGGGCGCCATATTAGTACTGACCTGGGAGCAGTCCCTCGCACGCAGCTCAGCTGAGGTCTGAGGGCGGTATTGACACTATAACTGACCTGGGCGCGGTGCCTCTCACGCAGCTGAGCTGAGGTCTGTGGGCGGTACTGGTTGACCCACAGTACTGACCTGGGCGCGGTGCCTCTCACGCAGCTGAGCTGGGCCAGCAGGGCGTTGATGCAGATGTCGGCATCCGAACGGCACTTGTACAGAGTCACCACGTGAGAGATCGAGTCCACGCTGTCCACGTACATCTGCAAAACAAACAAACACGTCAAATCTGACAAACAAACAGAGATGTCACCAGTCACCACTTCCATCTGACAAAAAGACACTTCACGATTTCATGCACATGGCTGGAGCAGCGAACCTCCATTGTTTTAAATTCTCATGCTAGCCTCCACTCTAGCACGGGACTCTCCCTCCATCAGCGTTGTGAGGTCCTCCCTCAACATCGCGACGTCCTCCCTCGGTCCGTATCCTCTCCTTCAGTCACGTCCCTTCCCCCAAACTGGAGCACGCAGTTGTCGCTGGACCTCACCTTGAGCACGCAGTTGTCGGTGGCCTCGATGAGCTGTTGTCGCACCGCGTCCTCCCAGCCGGACTGAGGGTTCATCGGCTGGATGTCCGCCAGACGACACTTTAACGCCTGCAAACAACGGACCAGCCGTTAGCGGTGACAAACGGTCATACCAAACCGGACTGAGGGTTCATCGGCTGGATGTCCGCCAGACGACACTTTAACGCCTGCAAACAACGGACCAGGTGTTAACGGTAACGGTAAACGGTCATACCACACCGGACTGTGTTAACGGTAACGGTACAAGGTCATACCACACCGGACCAGGTGTTAATGGTAACGGTACACGGTCATACCACACCGGACCAGGTGTTAACGGTAACGGTCATACCGTCATACCGCACCGGACCAGGTGTTAACGGTAACGGTCATACCGTCATACCGCACCGGACCAGGTGTTAGCGGTAACGGTAAACGCGGTCATACCACATCGGACCAGGTGTGAGCGGTAACGGTACACGGTCATACCACACCGGACCAGGTGTTAATGGTAACGGTACACGGTCATACCACACCGGACCAGGTGTTAACGGTAACGGTCATACCGTCATACCGCACCGGACCAGGTGTTAGCGGTAACGGTAAACGCGGTCATACCACACCGGACCAGGTGTTAACGGTAACGGTCATACCGTCATACCGCACCGGACCAGGTGTGAGCGGTAACGGTAAACGCGGTCATACCACACCGGACCAGGTGTGAGCGGTAACGGTACACTGTCATACCACACCGGACCAGGTGTTAATGGTAACGGTACACGGTCATACCACACCTGCGCGGACCAGCTGTGAACGTATTCTACACAATGGCACAGCCCAGCGTTCCAGTAAGCAATTAAAATTAGGTCAAGAGCACGGTGATAAGGAGTTACAGGGACGGTCGCCGACCCTCACTAGTCACTATCGCGTCCCTCTATTTGTCTGCTGCAGTAACCGACTGGACACAATGACGACCTGACCTCCCCTGGCTGGCCGGACCCGCTCATAGGTTCGTGCTGTGACCCACCTGTTTGGGGATGACCATGAACTTGTCCTCGATTTTGCGCACCGCCTGCAGCGAGATACGCTCGCGGTTACCGTAGTCGACGTAGTAGACGTCCACCATGCCGTGGGAGAGCAGGATCTCGATCTCGGCCCGGTAGAACTTGCCGTCGACCGAGAACTGGGCCACGCACACCTGACCTGCTCCACAGAGGAAACACACAGGACGACGAGCGGTCAGCACACACGACAACAGCGCGACTGGCTGGGCGGAGGGAGGCATGATTGGACAAACGACACATTCAAAATGGACTGGGATGTTGTCCCAAATTACAGGCGAACCCGCTGATCGGGACAACGGTGTCCACTTGGCTGGCTGGCCGTACCTTTCTGCGGGTTGAGCAGCGCGTGCTTGGTGCTCTTGGCATACACTCGCTGGATCTCGTCCATCATATTGGAGAGGTACTGCCAACACAACGGGGACGACTCCGTTAGGCGGGGAAGGGACGGGAAAACTGCCGTCAGAGCAGGCAGCACACAGGCATCGACAGTCAGCAGCACCGCTCGACAGGAGCCGTTCCCAGTGCCGTGCCACAGCTCAATTACATCCCCAAAGCCGTGTCACTGCTGAACATCCCCTACCACCGTGCCATAGCTCAGCTATCCCAGAGCCATCCGACAGCCGAGCTATCCCCACCTCGGCGTGGACGCCCAGCTGCTGTATGTAGAACGTCTCCGGCGAGTCCACGTGGCTGACGAGGACGTCCGTCTGCGACCCGCGCGCCAGGTGCTCGGGCGCGTAGAACTGGCGCCGGTCGGCCGTGGCACTCTCCATCCGCGCCACGGTGACGGCCGGGGTGGCGGGCGGCGGCCGGCGGCCGGCGCTGGCGGCCACTCCCGAGCCGGGCGCCGCCCGAGACCTGACGCACATGGCGGGCCGGTGAGCGGCCGGTCAGACACGGGCACGGGCCAGAGATGGAGGTACGACCTGCGGCCTAGACTGCACACGAGCCATGAGGATCAGGGGGTGGCGTCTCTATCGATGACGAGAAATCCTTACAGCCAGTAAGTAAGTCATTGTGGGTAGCTTTGATAAGCGCATATGGTCATGTCGACATTGTTGATGAGCAATCTCCTTCGCCGCCTCCCCTGACCTCCCCGCACCTTTTGGTGGTAAGTCAAGGGTATATGGTCACCCCTCCTTCCCGTTCTATTTGGACCCCCTCCCCATCCCTGGGTCACACACCCATCCCATTGTGTCGTTGGGAACGCGTCCAGTGCCGTTTGGACACCCCGTCCCTGGCTGTTACCGTCTGGCGGTGGCGCCACCCTGTACCCCGCCTCTCTGGAACTGTTTGGGCCCCTCCCTCAGTCCCAGGTGTACCGTTTGCCGGTGGGGCCTCCCGTCCCCGTCCCCCGTCCCTCTGGAACCGTTTGGGCCGCTCCCGTCCCTCAGTCCCTGGCTGTTACCGTTTGCCTCCGTCTCCCGTCCCTCTGGAACCGTTTGGGCCGCTCCCTCAGTCCCTGGCTGTTACCATTTGCCAGCGGCCCCCGTCCCCGTCCCCCGTCCCTCTGGAACCGTTTGGGCCGCTCCCGTCCCTCAGTCCCTGGCTGTTACCGTTTGCCTCCGTCTCCCGTCCCTCTGGAACCGTTTGGGCCGCTCCCTCAGTCCCTGGCTGTTACCGTTTGCCAGCGGCCCCCGGCCCCGTCCCCATCCCTCCGGAACCGTTTGGGCCACTCCCTCAGTCCCAGGTGTACCGTTTGCCGGTAGGACCTCCCGTCCCCGTCCCTGGCTGTTACCGTTTTGCGGCGGCGCCTCCCACGTAGCTGGCCACGCCGAGGAACACCAGGTGGTCGCGCACCGACTGCGGCGAGTCGGCCTCAATGTTCCGGTTGGGCATCTTGAGCATCTCGACCTCGCGCGGCCGGCCCGGCTTAGCGCTGATGGTGGTCATCGCCACTGACTCGCTGTGAGACAGCAGAGGGGGGGGGGGGTCAGAAATGGGAGGCGGGGAGGGGGCAGGGAGTGGGGCGGGGAGCGGGGCAGTTAGGGGAAGGGCCGCGAATAAGGCGGACAATGGGCGGATCGGGGTAGGGCGGACACTGGGCGGAGCGGAGTAGAACTGAGGACGGGAGAGGAAGGGAGAGTTAGAGCTAGCTAGAGGAAGGTAAGGAGCAGAAGGTTGCATCACATGCGGCATGGCTAGCGGAAACATGAAAGCCAGATGCAGCATCGTTTTAGGTACAGAAATCAGTAGCTGCCATGCCGACCAGATCACGCCACGTCACAGCCTGCGCCACCTTCGAATGCCCGACTCCAGAGTTCATGTGGGACTCACTCTACCCAAATCACCCTCCCCCTGTCCTGCGTTCCCGGCTCACCCTCGGACCAGCTCGGCGAAGGCGTGTGTGGCGCGCGGACTCCAGGCGGCCGCGCCGCCGGCCGGCACCAGGTCCCAGAGGGTGCAGAGCAGAGCCATGTCGTGGTCGCGGGCCAGCGGGCCGGACATGGGCAGCAGGCGGGACTCCAGCACACGCTCCTGGTTACCTGTGTAGGGAGGGGGCGTCAGTGACCCGGGGTGGAACACTGGGCCGGGAGGGGGCCTGGCTACCTGTGGGGGGGGGGGAGAGGGGTCAGTGACCTGGGGTGGAAGACTGAGCCGGGAGGGAGCCTGGCTACCTTGTGAAGAAGAGGGGAAGGCTCGACAGCACCGACCGACACCGACAGGAGGTGGAAGGCCAGGGGAAGCTACGGCAGCTGCATAAAATGGCACAGTCATAGTAGAAAATCAAATGTGAAAAAACGTGCTAGAAGCCAAATCCAGCTTGTGCGGCCAGATCGGCCTGTAATACGTACCGTAGTCGATATAGAACACCTCGTACTCGAAGGGCGCTCCCTCCTCGCCCGGCGGGTACACGTCTATGATGCGGGCCCGGTACCAGCGGCCATCGCTGCGGTACTGCGACAGACACAGCTCGTCTGTAAGAGGGAAACCCCGTCAGATAACTGCCGTACTGCGACAGACACAGCCGCGGTACTGGAACATACACAGCTCGTCTGAAGGACAGAGAGAAACATGGTCAGATAACTGCCGTACTGCGACAGACACAGCCGCGGTACTGGAACATACACAGCTCGTCTGAAGGACAGAGAGAAACATGGTCAGATAACTGCCGTACTGCGACAGACACAGCCGCGGTACTGGAACATACACAGCTCGTATGTCGGACACAGAGAAACCCCGTCAGATAACTGCCGTACTGCGACAGACACAGCTCGTCTGTAAGAGAGAAACCCCGTCAGATAACTGCCGTATTGCGACAGACACAGCCGCCGTACTGCGACAGACACAGCTCGTCTGTAAGAGAGAAACCCCGTCAGATAACTGCCGTATTGCGACAGACACAGCCGCCGTACTGGGACATACACAGCTCGTCTGTAAGAGAGAAACCTCGTCAGATGACGGCCGTACTGCGACAGACACAGCCGCGGTACTGGAACATACACAGCTCGTCTGAAGGACAGAGAGAAGAGTCACACACAGCCGCAGTACTGCGACAGGCAGAACTGAGTCACACACAGCCGCGGTACTGCGACAGACAGAGCTCGCCTGCAGGAGAGCGGCAGAGTCAGACAGCGCACCGTCGAGTGAAAACTATACAGGAAACGTTAGTGATATCTGCACACTGTGCAGGGGCAGCGGCACACTATATTGTCAAAGTAACTATTCAATCATGGCCGGATATGGGAAACAAGAAGCACATTCACGACTCTCCTATTCATGGTTAGAGAGTGCTGCAAATCTACTTATTCAAAATCGCATTCCGTACATTTCAAACAATCAAGAATAGCACGTGAAATACAGGTACACAAATCACTAACTGAATGCCCGTAGAGTCCAGATGACGCACACAGTGCGCGCCCAACACCGCCGGCCGGGCCACTCACTTTTGGCCAGCGTGAGCAGGTGTTTGTTGCGCTTGCTGTCGGGGTTTCGGCTCCACTGCGCCACGCGCCGCATCAGCTCCTGCAGCTGGCGGTTCTGGCAGCAGCGCTGCACGTAAAACTGAGACGGACTATTGATGTGGGTCACCAGCACACGCTCCTGGCCGACTGCCGTCAGACGGGGGGGGGGGGGTCAGAGACTACCGGCGGGGGGGTCAGACACAGACACAGAGACACCTCGGCTCTAGGACAGACACAGGGGGCAGACAGTCGCCGTCCTCCCTCAACTCGAGAACAGGGGTGGAACGGTCAGTACTGTCTCAGTTCGAAGATAGGGTGGGACAGCCCCCTCAGCTTAAGGACAGGGGGGGGGGGGAATCAGTATTTGATCAGTTGGAGGCCAGGGGTGGGACAATCAGTGCTCCCTCAATACGAGGACAGGGGCAGGACAGTCCCTCCCTCAGTTCGGGGACAGGGGCGGGACAGTCCTCCCCCTCAGTTCGGGGACAGGGGCGGGGCAGTCCCCCTCAGTTCGGGGACAGGAGCGGGACAGTCAGTTCTGCCTCAGTCAGAGGCAGCCGCCATCACGAGCGCATTTCAGCAACACACATCAATATCATGAATCTAAGCGTGTAAGCATCATTGACAATGGGGAAACTTTTCCGGTAGCCAAGTAAGCTATGCACCTGCTTCCAAAGGCAGGCATGTTTTGGTAAATAAATAAAACGAAGAAAAACGATCGTTGTCAAAACTAAAAGTGTAGTACAAGCGGCGGTGTCAGCTGCTGCGGCGGCGGGCAGGGGCGGCTCGGGTCAGGTCAGGTCAGGTGGAGGGCGGGCAGGGGGCGGATCGGGTCAGGTCAGGTGGAGGGCGGCAGGACGCGGCGCCGCCCGTCCGTACCGGTGAAACTCAGAGGCCGGACGGCGACGGCGGCGGCCCTGGCTTGCTGCCGGCGCCGCTGCTCGCGCCGGCGCCGCGACCGCTGCAGTCGCGACGCGTATACCCTCCGCGCGGGCGCGCCGGCTGGCAGAGGAGGCGGTCAGCTGGGCGCGGGACACCGTCACCAGAGAGGCAGCCTCAGCCGGCCCTGCTAGCAGCCGCAGCCCATCACCCAGCCCAGCAGCCGCAGCCCATCACCCAGCCCAGCAGCCGCAGCCCAGCACCCAGCTGAACAACCGCAGTCTAACCCAGCACAGCAGTCGCAGCCCAGCACCCAGCCCGACAGCCGCAGTCTAACCCAGCACAGCAAGAGCAGTCCATCAACCAGCTAAGCTAAAAAAACATATAAGATGAATGAGAGAAAAGAGCCCATTCCAAAAGAAAATAAATACGACAGCATGCATGGCAAGACGCATCGCAAGTGACAACCGTAAAATAGAGACAAAGCAGTGGCCTGCACGGCGGTTGGCCCGAGCAGTCGGCCCAGCGCCCCCAGAGGCCGACAGTCGGCTGTACTCACAGGGCGCCAGAGAGCCGTCCGCGGCCTCCGTGCGTCCGCTGTCCCTGGCGGCGGCGGCTGCGGCTGCAGGCGGCGCCGGGGCCGGGGCCGGGGCCGGGGCCGGGAACACCGCCGCCAGTCGGCGGTCGGACGGGGGGCGCGGCGAGCTGCCGGGGCGCGCCGGCGTCGGCGGCAGCGGACGGGACGCAGTGACGGCCAGCAGCTCCACAGTGCCGGCCGCCGCCGCCGGAGGGATGGCCGGCTCAGAGCAAACGGCCGGCGTGGTGTCGCGCACCGGCTCCTCCTCTGCGGGGAGGAGGGGAGAGCATGGTCAGAAGGCGTCCGCCGCAGCGGGAAACACAGAGCGTCAGAGTAACGCGGAGCACACGCGCAGCTAACACGAATCCACGGGAGGGCAGTCTGAGAACAGCTCTGAGCGTAGGGAGAGCCTGAGCACAAGACCACAGACCAAGGGCGGATTCGCGTAGACATGAACCGTCATTTTACCGCGGAATAAAAACATCTTGGAAATATCAATTGATCCATGGACGGGACCACAGTACACAAAACAACGTGAAAGACACAAAATATGCCCTTTTAAAGAATGAACGAATGTCAAACTAGGAACGATCTATTCGTTGCCCTTCTTGTTAGAGCCTGGCTAGAAATTTCGTAGCACTGTGCGATTTTACCTTGCTATAACCCGCGCCCCGCTGGGCTATTCAGCCATACGCGCCCTGCTGGGGGGGGGGGGGCAGATTCTGCCCCCCCCCTGTCTAACTTCCGAACCGATGGTCGTAGAAAGACGGGAAAAACGGCAATCGAAAGCTCTCAACAAGGCGGATCTTAAAAGCCCAAATTTTTTGCTTAAGTAGGTCAGAGGTCAGGTCAAGGTCAGGTCAAGGGTACAAAATGCAAGTTTCTACAGTATCGGCCTTGCACCGTAGTTGCCGAAGAATGGACTGATACTGATTGCCAAAAACGTGTTCTTAGACTACCAAGACCATATTCGTTGCACACAATGTCATTCAAAGGTCAAGGTCAAGGTCAAGGTCAGGTCAGGTCAGGTCACCAAAAACAAAATATAGAAAAGGGCATGTGCGACACATGTTTTATGGGTCATTTTACTCATGGAATTCAATAGGCACACTCAATAAGTGATATGGACCACCTCTGGATGAATTTCAGGTCGAGGTCAGGTCAAGGTCAGGTCAAGTGAGGTCAAATTTTGAAGTTGGTTGTTAAGGCCTAAAAAGGTGTCCATCCGATGCAGTTTTTCACGGCGAATCGAATGGTGCTATTTTTGTTTCCGTACGAGGTCTAGAACTTCCAAAAAAATCATTTTTCAAAAAAATTGTGTGTCGTGACGTCATAAAATTTTGAATAACTCCCACATTTTTGAACCGATTCTTCTAAAAATTGGTATGTAGGTGCACATAGACCACTTCTTTGACATATATTCCGGTTTTTTGATAAACTCAAAATTTTGGATTTTATAAATATTTTCCCAAAAAGTCAGTTTTTTGGAAAAATTTTGGCCAAAATCCAGAATTTTCAAAAAACCGAGATAGCCATTTGATAGACAAGGTAGAATCACGTACAATCTTTTTTGTTACGTCTTGATTCCTTTAAAAATGAAGATGTTAGCGGCGTTTGAAATTTTGCCATTTTTGAGGCGAAAATGGCGAACATGACGTCACTAAAACGTCAATTTCTCAAAAATTTTCCGACGGATTTCGCTCCAATTTTCAGGGAACGTGTCAAATTGATGTATGATAAGGTACTGAAAGTTTGACGTCGCTGGCGTAACGCGTTTAGAAGTTATTGGCGAAAAACGGGAGGGGGGCAGATTCTGCCCCCCCCCCCCAGCGGGGCGCGGGTTAATTAACAGACCTAGAAAACTGTTCAGATAAGCACAGTGCAGCCCGGACGGGCGGTCTGACCTTCGGCGAGCATATCGGGCGTGATCTCGGTGACGACATGGTCAGCAGGGAGCTCAGAGTCCGACAGCAGACGCACTGGCGGCGCGATGTCCACCTCCAGCTTCCCGTGGTCGCCGATAGAGGTCAGCAGCGTCTTGTCCGCCAGGAAGCTGGCGAACACAACGGGCAACGTAGGGTTTAAAAGGCAGCAGGTCCAGACAGGCTACGTTTCCACCAGCTATGTAGCGCTGATATAACACAACCGATATAATACCTAATCGACTATGAACATACCTCACTGCAGGCCCATGTCGTCCCCTATCTCTCTGCGTGTCCACTAACACGAATGACGTCACGCATGTGGGCGGAGCTATGGGCGGAGCCTAACGCACGCGGCAGTCCAAGCCGCCATATTTGAATTTTTATTTTAATAGAATCTTGCCGATATTTTGGGTGAAGTCAATTTATATGGATAGCTTGGTGACAGTTTAGCTATACGAATAATAATTTATTATGGATGTGCGTATATTCAGCTTGGAATTGCAATTAAAGTTCCGCACCGCATAGATTCGAACTCGGGACCTTTGGAATACTGCGCGGGCACGCTAACCACTACACTACCGCGACCGCGCGGCGGCCGGCGGCAGGGAGGCTGCGGAGACATGGGGGGACATTTTACGCTTTTGTGAAAAAAAGCAAAAGATTTAGCGAAAAACACGTAATAGATAACTTGCAGAAAATTGTCTGCTCTTTTAGGTAAGATACTTAAGTTTGATATATCTTGTGCAGACTTCATTCTACAGTGCTTCGAAAATCGCTCATTTACATGGGGATTGAACGGGGCTTCGAGACTTGACTCCAAATGACGTCACGAGCTGACGTCACGGAAAGGTAGAATCGCCGGACGACCCTACCTGGTATATAGGGCCTTGCCTCACTGGTTCAATGTGGCGACAAAACAACTTGTTGAACATTATTGAGTTTGATTTGAAGTCCGACCGACTACTAAGGGCGGGTGCTAAGTTGAGCATGGTTGAGCGAATCGTTCACGCTATTCAACTACTCGACCAAAACCTAACTGGCCACCACTGAAAATGTGTCAGAACCAGAACACAAGTCTGATATGCACACATTTTCTAGTCAGTTTGAACTTTGAAGGGCTATCCAGCTTCTAAATTAAAAACCAACCGAAACGACCAAATGGCCCCTCATTTTTTCTCGAGGGGGGACGTTACTCATTCCAATATAGGTATTACTGGGACACTGACGAGCAGGATATTACTGAGCTAAGCACTTAAGCAGTCATCCACAAGTCATGGACAAATATCGTAATGCATTTATCATATTGCCAACATCTTATTGAGTGTAAAAAGAAAAAAGAAAAACAGGACAGTGCAACACTCACGTTGATCATAAAAAAGAACAATAGAACATGGCACACGAGTTGAAATGATATCGTCAGTAGTCATCTCAGTAGATATGAGCCGGTATATCCGTTGAGTGACTTTCCACTGATAGCTCCACTGACGGGCGTTTGAAAAACTGGCCCCCGGAAGCGGCACATGCCTCGGAGCCGCGTCCCAAGTCGGACCGTCACTCACAGCCCGCGGCTCCGCGGGACCGGTGGATGTGACGGCACCGGAACCCGATACCGTCACGGGAGATCGTCTGACCTGGTCCCGCGGCGACCGGTGGATGTGACGGCACCGGAGCCCGCTACCGTCACGGAAGATCGCACCTGAGCCCGCTACCGTCACGGGAGATCCTCGACACGGAGGGTCAGCCCGGTGGGAGAGGACACCATACAGGACTGGTGGTGACACCATGGTGGCAGTGGCAGTGTAGGGAGAGCTCTACCCAAATGAACAAGTAGTAGTCTTGTGAGCATCCTACCGGACCCGGCCGCTGTCTGTCTATGGGGAGCTGTTATCTGACCCAGAGCAGGTGGCAGGGCCGACTGGACCTGTCTGTTTATCCTGCCTGACGCGGCCGCTGTCTATGGGGGCTGTTACCTGACCCAGCCGCTGTCTATGGGGGGGGGGGGGGGGGCTGTTACCTGACGCGGCCGCTGTCTATGGGGAGCTGCTACCTGACCCGGTCACTGTCTATGGGGGCTGTTACCTGACCCGGCCGCTGTCTGTCTATGGGGGCTGTTACCTGACCCGGCCGCTGTCTGTCTATGGGGGGCTGTTACCTGACGCGGCCGCTGTCTGCGTCTCCGTCGGCCCAGAGCAGGTGGCAGGGCCGACTGGGTCTGTCTGTTTATCCCACCTGACGCGGCCGCCGTCTGCGTCGCCGTCGGCCCAGAGCAGGTGGCAGGGCCGCTCGCAGGCGGCCGCCAGCTGCTGCAGCAGGGGCTCCAGGTCGGCGGTGACGGCCACACCATCGCCGCCGGCCAGCACCGGCTCGGCCTGCGAGAGCAGCTGCTGGAGCCGCGTGACGCCCTCCTCGGCAGCAGCCTCCTGGGTGGACAGAGAGAAACATCATCAGACAGAGACAATACACAGACACAGAGAGCAGCTGCTGGAGCCGCGTGACGCCCTCCTCGGCAGCAGCCTCCTGGGTGGACAGAGAGAAACATCATCAGACGGAGACAATACACAGACACAGAGAGCAGCTGCTGCAGCCGCGTGACGCCCTCCTCGGCAGCCGCCTCCTGGGTGGACAGAGAGAAACATCATCAGACGGAGACAATACACAGACACAGAGAGCAGCTGCTGCAGCCGCGTGACGCCCTCCTCGGCAGCCGCCTCCTGGGTGGACAGAGACAAACATCAGACAGAGACACGGAGACAGACACAGAGAGCAGCTGCTGGAGCCGCGTGACGCCCTCCTCGGCAGCAGCCTCCTGGGTGGACAGAGACAAACATCAGACAGAGACACGGAGACCAGTATTCGTCACGGGCCGTAAAATCCCAGTCCAGCCCAGCCCAGGCCCATGGGTTCACAGCCCGGCCCAGCCCGAGCCCATTCATGGTAAAAGCGTCAAAGCCCAGCCCGTCAAAAATGAATGGTTTAAAAATGATTGGACAGCACAATGGTACCCAAAGGTAGCAAAGAAACAATTTTTGCGAGTAGCATGCACAATGCACATTGCATGCGTGCTTTATTAACTCGTTTTTGAGTATTGCACAGTGCTATGAAGTTATAGTTTTTGTCTCAGTTGTGAACCCCTGACTCCACTTTACAGTTCTCGGCCCAGCCCATCCACAGCCCATCGATCCTTCATATTTGAGGGCCCAGCCCAGCCCGTAGCCCAGCCCAGCCCAGCCCATGGCCCATTGGGCTAGCCCGGCCCATGGCGAACACTGACGGAGACATAGTAAAACCTGCCGCCACCCCCTGAGTGGAGTGCATCATCAGACTGAGACACAACAGACACACACTCAGTTATACCGCCGCCTTCTGGGCGGGGAGACAGACATCAGACACTACAGAGATACAGAGACATATACGGACATCATAGACGCACATTCAATTCTACCGCCGCCTTCTGCGCGGGGAGACAAACATCATCAGACATAGACACTGAGACAAACGCAGGCAGCGGCGCATACAACACACAGAAACACTCAAATCTACAGCCGTCCCCGGTCATCTCTGGAATGTTTCCCTTCCGTGTCAACTTATCCCCGGCACATCTAGCCGCGGTCTCCACTGAGTATGAGCAGCACTGCGCCGAGCCACTTCCCATTCTGCACGGCACCAGAGGCCGCGCGACTCATACGATAATCCTCAGCTCTGCGCCGGCCGAGTGTTTCAATGGGTCCGATGGAGGACTGGACGGGGACCGGCTTGGACACTGAGACTGGCAGAGGATGGGACTGCGATGACGCGAGCCTTCCGGGTAGTAAGTAGTGGGGAGTGGGCGGTCGGCGTCGCGTGATCCGCTGAGCCCGTTACGTAACAGCGACTAAGCCCTAATGTTTGCGCATATCTGATGAATCAAATCGGCATTACGAATTACCGTGAACGAATATGATGGATGTTTTAACAGCGAAATGTGATCCATGGATATAAATGATGGATCGTTATACAGAGTGGCTTGCGTATCGCGAAAGGATTGTCAATTCACCGGAACGTCACTATCATTGAATATATGCGGGCAGAAAAGAAACGCCATGCGAATGTCGAGTTCGCGGCGGCTACAAACACAGTAACCGTCCGGGTAGACTCTAAAGACCGACTCACCCACAGGATCGTGAGTTCCGTGGGTGGGACAAGCCTCTATACATCATCAGCCGGTGACTCTGTGTACCGCGGTCCGGCCTCCATCGCTCCACTAACCCTGCCTCACGGCCCAACCGAACCATCTCTAATCATGCTTATGTAACGCTCTCACCATACTTCCACCTACCATTTGGCACGTCTTCCTGGTCAAAAACTGGCGTCGCGTGTTAGCTCGACCGCAGCTCGCCGCCGGTTAACAGCGCCGTCACGCCACAAATATTTCAGCGCTCCTTCCGAAACAAACTCCCACGGGCCCAGGCGCAGATACTCGGATAGAAACAAACTCCCATCAGTCCGAAGGCAGATGCTCGAATACAATCCCACTAAATGTTAGCTGCAGTTTAAAAACGCCAGCCAGCGGGCCGCCAGGAAGGCGGTTGTGGCGTCAGGCGCCGGTCCGCGCCTCTGGGAAATATGGCTGCGGTTAGCCGCCGATCTGATAGCGGTGTGAACACGGCGCCTGCCGACAGCATGGGGCCGTGTTCACTGCTCAGGACCTGTCCCTGCCCTTCCTCGGCTCAGAGGGACCGGACCGACACTCCAGGCCGGCGCTTCTTAGGGCCTGTCTCCTAACCCTCCCTCGGCTCAGAGGGACCGGACCGACACTCCGGGCCGGCGCTCGGACCTGTGGACGGCGTCGTCTCCCCTCGGCCGGCGCTGCGCGGAGCGCACCTACCGCACAGGGTGGGAGGGGTGACACGGTGCGCGCCAAGCACACCGCCTCGGCTCCATCGCTTAAATCTGAGGTTAGAGCTGCGGCTGGGTCCGCGGTCTGGCGGGTTCCGAGCCAGGTGCGGCCTCAGAGGAGCGTTTAGCCCCGGTCAGGTGACTGGTTTGAAAGGTGAGACCACAATGACGTCACCCGCCACCTCCTGACGTCACTGCCACCCTGTCGTTAGTCGCGGCGGGCCGTGGGCGGTCCTATTAGCAGCTCTGCCGTGAACCCCGCTGCCGGGGGACGGCGGGCCCACATCCTGTTCCCAGGGCGCCCCCGGACCCCGGCGCCCCTCTCACGGTCACGGTGTACTTCGTGTCCGTGATGTGGCCCACCCCCTGCCTACGGCGAGAGACGGGCACCCGGGCGTCCCTCACGACTAATTCATGGGCCGGTCGACTGTGAGGTGAGGAGAGAAAAGGAGAGAAGAGACAGATAGAGACAGAGAGAGGGGTAAGAGAGAAGAGAGAGAGAGAGAGAGAGAGAGAGAGAGAGAGAGAGAGAGAGAGAGAGAGAGAGAGAGAGAGAGAGAGAGAAACAGAGACAGAGATAGAGAAAGAGAGAGAGAGAGAGAGGGGGGGGGGGGGGGAGAAAAAATGTTAAGCATCACAGGCCCGAGACCCACGTCTAAGTGCCGGGGTGCCAGCTCGCGGCACAGTGCACACCATGGGGACTAAGCACCGAGGGTGTCAGCTCGCGGCACACCGGGGGACCGCGGCTTGCTGCCGCTCGAGCTGCGCCGACAGCGGAGCACGCTCCGCCCAGGCGTCATAATACAGCTGAGCTGTTCCTGCGGCCGGCCCTCGTGTCGCTGATACCTTTATAAGTCGTCTCATGGACACGGGAGGCGGCGGCGGCCCGGATGAACTGCTCTCACGGACACCCGTCCGGCTCCCGGGCTCCCCGGGCGCCTCCCTTCAGGGGGAGCCGGGGAGGGGACATCTCACGGGCTTCACGGATGTATCCCTTCAGGGGAGTCAGGGGAGGGGGGAGGGGACATCCCCCGGGCTCCCTGGACGTCTCCCTGCAGGGGCAGCCGGGGGAGGGGACATCTCCCGGGCTCCCCGGAACCCTCCCTTCAGGGGGAGCCGGGGGAGGGGATATCTCACGGTCTCTCAGACTGCCCAGGGTCAGGCAGGAATGCAGAGAGGCGGCGAAACACGGATGGATCAGAGCACACCCGGCTCAGCTCAGCACAGCTCGGCACCCCGACAGACGCGGACGGCCGACACCTGATGTCCCTCTCCCCCTGCCCAGTGAAGGCGACCCGCCACCTGCGGCTGACCCTGAGTTGACCTCCAATGCCAGACACGCCGACCACACGGCCACACCTTAGATGGCGACGTTATCTAGACAAAAGTGAAAATCTCAGCTCATTTCGGCAAGTAGACGCTCAAAGCTTCCGCTACAGCAGCATTTTTGTCGTGGCTGAATCATGTGATCATCCTCTTACTGTGTTTGTGGGACCCTGAATCGTGTCCCCAAAACTAATCTTAACGCGGAAAGAGACGCTACATGACACTGTCAGCCAACCGAGAGAAGCATGCACGCTACAAGGTCCTACCATGCGCACCAGGCGTACTAACCCGATCAGGCACTTGACATTCAAACAAATAGCTCCTAGCAACTGCGAGCTCTTCATTGAAATTGCAGATGCAGTCATTCACGAGCTGTCGTCATCGGTCCCGCAAATATTAATGGTGGAGCGCATTGGGAATACGGGAAAGGGGTTGAGCCGGAATTACTGGACCATGCGTGAAACCTCTACTCTCGTGACCTAGTGGAGCATATACAGGGTGTCCAGAAAAAAACGGATACTATTATTTTTTTGCTGTAATTCCGAAAATAAACACCTTACATTTTAAAATGGCACATGCTTGTATTCGCCAAAATACGGCAAAACAGACAGCAGGTGCCACATGGCATGTAAACTCTTTGGTTAGTTGCGGCAGCTCCTCAAAGCAGATACTCAATGTGAGCGGCCTTACGGCGGATCAGCTCCAGCACTAGCACAGTCTGCAGGTGACTGATGGTCATGTTGACCATCTCGGAGGGCAGGCAGACAACTTTCCAACGACGCATTACAGTGCTCATGAGTTTTGCCAAATCTTGCACTATAAGCACATGAATTTGGAACAAAATCGGCACGTGCGTTAATGAATGCGACTATTTCCGTAGTATCTCTTTTTTCTGGACACCCTGTATATCGACAGATCACTGGCACATTATCGTCGTTGATGGCTACAAATCGACCGTGCCCCTACAAGAAGAAGGGACGGGTACTCGTCAGCCGAACCGCCACGACTCAGTGCTGCTGCCACCGTCACTCAGCGCACCCTGACTGCGACAGGAGGTGCACAGTGATGCAAATGGGGTCCACGAGTGGCCATAAATACCCAAAAGTCAAGTTTACCAAATCGAGTTAATTGCGATATGGCCGAGTAGACAAATGTTTGGGGCATCTGAAATCACATGGTTTTCATGTTTTTGTCAAAACCGGCCTCGTGTATAATCGTCAGAAGTCGTGACATTTTCTAGGTCGTAAAATGACGGTCAGACGCTCGCAAGTTCAAACGCCGCTGGTTTGCGTTCATTTCGTACAAATTGAAAAAAAAATTATGCATGGGAATGATCCCCAAAGCCTTCTGCTTCTAATGCCGCGTCACAAAAAGCCGTATCTCATTCGCTTTGGCGGTAATCTGACTATTTATCATCATGTTGCAATCGCAGTTTTTTACTAAGAAAAAAAAAATGCTTTCGTTTCACCTACAGCACCTAACACAGTGCGTGCCCGTTAGTCCACCATACCATAGCCTTCCCTAATCATTTCTGAGTCGCATCGTGAAAGAGTTAAGGCACTAGCACAGGGCTGACCGGCGCTACAGAGGTTTTTGTCTAGGCGGTCGGGTGCCGCAGTGGGCGCGCAGTGGGCGGGTGAGTGCCGCCGCGCGGCGTCCGGGCGGCGCGGCGGCGCGGCCGCCCGGGCTGCCCGCTGCGCCGCGGCACCCGACCGTGCCGGACGAAAACTTCTGTAGGGCCGGTCAGCCCTGTGCTAGCGCCTTAATTCTTTCACGATGCGACTCAGAAATGATTAGGGAATGCTATGATATGGTGCACTAACGGGCACACACTGTGTCAAGTGCTGTAGATGAATTGAAAGCAAATATTTTTGGTAAAAAACTGCGGTTGCAACATGATTACAAATAGTTAGCTCACCGCCAAACCAAAATAGATACGGCTTTTTATGACGTGGCATTAGAAGTAGCAGGTTTCAGGGATCATTTTCATGTATAATTTTTGCAGTTTGTATGACATGAACGCACGCAAGTGGCACTTGAATTTCAAGCACCTGACAGTCTTTTTACGACATCGAAAATGTCTCGACTTCTGACAATCCTACACGAGGCCGGTTTTGACAAAAAACATTAAAATCACACTTTTTCAGACACCCCAAACATTTGCCTGACTGACCATATTACGATTTATTCGATTAAGTGAACTTGAATTTGGGGCCTTTTTCGTATTTATGGCCATTCGTGAACCCCATTTGCATCACTGCGAGGTGACTGATCCGTCCAGTCAGGGCAGTGCTCACTGCACAGATTCCCTCCCATTTCAGCCGCGGCTCTCAGACGGAGCCCATAGTTCAGCGGACAGGTCCGGTGAGGTGATGGATGGCGCTCGTATCCAGCTCGAGGTCGGCTCACACGCCCGGTAGTCGCCACCGGCCGCCGGCACTTCAACACGCGCGCATCGGACACCGCACGGCTGCCAGAGGCGGCGGCAGAGGTCAGCCGAGGCGCGGCGGGCGCTGCTGTAAGCGGTTCCGTGCCGTCAGAGTCGGAGAGCCTGACCGACCCCAGCGGTGGTTACCCGCGGGGAGCCCCTCCGGCGGTATGTAGTTACTCGCGTTTGGTCCACCCCCCGGCACGTGACCCAGTACATGGCACGTGGCTGTCCGGATGGCACACCTCTCCACATTGGAGAGGAATGCGAGACCCAGCGAGGGACACTCAGCCGAATGGTGCGACTGGACATGAGGTCTGGACGCGGTACATTTCAGAGCAGTTATAGAATCTCAAATAAGACGGGCGATGAGGTAAACGTGGCGCTACGGATTCCAGCGTCGGAACGAACATGAATGACCTGATTAGAAGGGAGCCTGAGGACTCAAGCTGGCCGTCACAGAATTTCAATAGCTGTGGTCAATTGTTTCGATTTTCATACGTACGAACAAAATCTGGCCCTTATATGTAATAGATCCCGCTCTTGGGTAAGTACTCATTGGTAATTTCCTTACAAAGCAGTAATGATGTAATTAATCACTTCATCACCCTACTTGGCTTTTGCAGCAGGTTTGACTTGAAAAACAGCAAAACGTTGGCAGAGATGCACTCTCCAAGCGGCGTGTCACCCTCAGACTGGCAGCGGTCTGCCCGTCAGTCAACCATTCATCACTCTGCACCCGGCGGACTCCTGTGATATAAGTCCGTACCGTGTCAGTCCCCGGTCCCGGCCGGGCGGCCCGCCGTCCTGAGGTCAGACCGCCGCCGTCCTGAGGTCACGCCGCGCGGGCCGGCTCAAGGCCCCCCTGTCAGCGCTGATCAATGCTCAGTGACCCGACCCGGAGTCGGATCGTGACTGCACGCCGCCCCCGACACGGCGCTGACCTAACCTCGCCGGGTCACGGCACCAAACGTGACCTGCACACGGCCGACACGGGAACCGTGCTCACCGGGCACCTCCAATCACCTTTTTCGTGTCGACGCTATTAGTCTACAGCAAATAGAGACATGTAAAACTGAAAACGCCAAATCGACGCTCCATCCAACACAAGAGCTGCCCTGGCGAAGCTTACTACAGCTCAGCATTGATAACTCGTCTGATTTTTTTTTTATCTCTCATCAGATAGAAGATTCGAACAAAGTTCAGGACTCTCCTGCAGACTAATCATTAATCAAGCTCACGGCCAAGCCGTTGTATAGTCCGGCAATCGGCACGTCCGCCGCTCGGAGCAGCACCCTGCCCGCCGGGGAAGGCCGAGGGGAGGAGAGGAGGAGCGGACGGGATACACAGCCGATCACGGGGGACCTGGCGGGGTGGGGCCGGGTCGTACGGTGGCCCGCGGGGGCACGGACAGCGGTCCAGTGACGCCGCCCGTTCCACTGCAGGAGCCTCGTCAGGAGAGGATGGCGAGCACCTCCCCACAGTCGCATACCAGCTGATTCCAGAATCCAATCACGGCCCTAAGCTGCGGATGAGCAGTCGCCCCGAGCCCGTGCTAGCACAGCCAAGGTCATCTCGTAATGGGTAGGAGTTCCGAGAGGGAGACAGTGGAGTGTGGAGGAGCGCGGCTAAGCTGGTTATGTGGCCCTCTTAGCGCAGTGTTAGCGGTGGCGCCCGCCGTCCAAGCGGCGTCGCGGCCGACCTGTCCGCAGAGCTATCAGTCCATCAGGTGACCAGTCTCCTAACGACCGAGAATCCGCTGACATATCATCCCCGGGATCAGATCGGAGGTCCGACCGACCGGTCCGGCGCATCCTCACACTTTCTCGGGGCCCTACTGCCGGTGACGAAACAGGCCGGGCCGGGACGGAGAGCAGATCGGACGGGTCGGTACCCGCCGGACGCCGGCCCGAGCACCTTCACCGGCGAACGGGAGACGCTGTGAACCGGGGGAGAGCGGATGGAGATATAGTGAACGGTTAGCAGCATCGAGCACGTTCGTCGCCGGCGAAAGCGCTGCCCGGCAGTCAGCCGGCGGCCAGCGACCTTCTCTTGGTCACTGACCAAGGAGCGATCACGTCACCAGACCACGCTGACCGCTTATCAGGGCCCCGTTCACGTGCAGGGCGAGCCTACCGGTCCGGGTAGGCCTCGAGTTTGCAGCATTTCTGTTGTCTCTAAACGGACATCGCATTGTCAGTAAACAATGAACATATACTGAGTGATATTGGATGATGACTAGAGGTGGCAAAATGTGGACCCGAGGACCCGGTCCAAAGAACCAGTCTGGACCCATATGGGTCCAGACCGTTTCCTGGAAAATTTCTGACGGGTCCAACCGGGTAGTACCATAAACTATACATCTTGCACACCACACATTTTTGCAAAATATGAAGTGAATGAAGCGAATGTTTCTTTGCACACAGTAGCTCATAAGCATTCCGTGGGAAATAGGCTGTTTTACATGATGCAACTAATGATACCTGCAAGCAGTTTGTAAAATTGACTTTTGGGGAACGGGTCCAACTGGTTCCGATTCCAACTAAGACCGGGTCCGACTGGTTCCAGAAATGTCCAGCCGGGTCTGGTTCGAGTCTGGTTCCCAAATTTTTTATCTTTTGCCACCTCTAATGATGACCACCCCAACCAGTAGTGAAGTGCAAGGGAACACATCTCTACCATTAGTGTGCATTTTCACGAATGTTGTGCTGAAACACACCGCATAAAATCCGAAAGCCATCCACCGCACTCCTCCCGCCTGAGCCCGAGCACACACACCCGGCGCGCACCGGGTCCGGTCGGTAGGACCGAGCTATCCGTGATTCACGGTGACGGCGGCTCTCACGGGCCGCTCGTGAGCCATCAGAGGCGGCCGGGTCACAGAGGGGACCGCACGGGAAGGGGAGCGGGCAGACGGCGCGGCGGCACGACCCCGGGGCAGCAGTTCCGGCGGCCGTGACTCCAGTGTGAATCACAGTCCGGTCGGAAACCAGGAGGTCACAGGTGTTGATACAGCGCTTTGGCGCCACTCCATGATAACCAGCAGGTTGGAGCAGCAACATCGACATCGAATGCCCGCTCACCCGTTATCACTCAAACTTATTTCCTGAGTTGCAGCCGCCGCGGCCGCTGTGTACCTCACGCCAGTCATCGGGTATTCGTCGACAGACCACAATGCCACCAGCAGCCAATTTCCGACAGTTGCCGTCCTCGGGCTCAGAAACCGGTGACGAGCCTCCCAGTGCTGAGCGAACTGACCACGAACTGCACCGGGGGAGTGTCCTCAGCGACAAACCACTACATGACGTAAGCTCCGTCAATCAGTCAGCGGCCGACGGGGGCCGAATACTGCAGACCATCCAGGTAATACCGCGCGGCAGCGTCTGTAGCTCCCATGCACCCAGCACTGCAGACGATCCAGGTAATACCGCGGGGGAGCGTCTGAAGATCCAGGGCGCCCAGCACTGCACACAACCCAGGGAATACCGCGCGGGAGCGTCTGTAGCTCTGACGAGCTGCTGTGAGATCCTCCCACCCCGGTAAGTACGTTACATGAACAAACCAGCCAGATGGAAAGCGCCGAACGCCTAAAAATGACGGCCCCACTGCGGATCGGCGCCGTATCCAGTCGATTTCAGCCCAACCTCCACCGGTTGCCGATAATACTGGGCCGACTGGGAGCAGCACTGCCTTTGTTTGGTCCGGTTCGACACAGCGGCGCTGCACCGGCCGGCTGCCGTGACCATTTCTGGAACTGGGAGGAAGCATGGCACAACCCATATCTCACAGCCAGAAATTCAGTAACCAGGAATAACCGTGTTGAGTAGATCCGGCCCGAAATAAACAAGCAAACTTCCTCAGCCTGGAACAGAAATGGAGCTGATGAGACCCAAGTGCACTTCTAATTCCACATGGACATTTTCTTACCATCTAGCTCCGGAGGCCGTCTGCTGTGCAGGGCCCAGTTGTGACCTCACCTCACCCCAGGGCCCAGCTGCGGCCTCACCCGCGAGAGTACGAGTCCGCGGCAGTTACACAAACATTGGGGATACGAAGCCAGCCGGTTTCCGTCCACGCACCGGCAATATCAGCTAACGGCACCTTCCGCGCTGCCGGCGGCACTTGACCGACCCGCCGGTAGCCGCAGGGGCGGAGAGCGAGCCCCTCCCCCAGAGCACACAGACAACACCCTAACTCGGCACATCATATCAAACACAATTCCTACAGTACCACCGTGACAGCGCAAAACCACCTCAAAATGGAAAGACAGGTCAGCAATAGAAGAATGGTGACAAGGCACGATAGGTCCAAGACACGAAAAGCTGTCTTGTGACGTAGTGACACTAATATTCTGAAGACAATGCCCGAGACTGACATCATCGTGTCACGTTAAGAATATAATCTTACGGTCTTAATATTTACGAAAAGGCTTAAATGAAGTGGGAAAACGTTAAATATTTTGACACCGGCTTTGACAGCGATTTATGTGCTAAGATGACAATGGATATCACTTAATAATGCTGATCCCAAGGGCATTTGAATTAGGAATAAAAGACCGTGAGCACAGATGAACGTCAACCAAAAAGTTGAGATAGGATGCCGATAGTAATAAGTGCATACCAAAACTGAGTTCAATCTGACGTATCTCCCATGGGAGTCACATCAATCCCGTGAGCGGCACTCATGAGAACAGGCTCAGGCAATTACTCGCCCTTCAACAGCTCGATACTCCTGCTGGGAGCTGACAGACAATCTGAGCGTGCGGATCGGAAAAATAGCACATCCTGTGAGAGAACTCAAATCATTCCGCTGCCCTTATACGCGTCCCCCGTCATCCACCCACGTCAGAGGCAGAAGCGGATCGCTATCAGCCTGATGGGGGAAGGGAGAGGTCCATTAGACGCGCCCCCACCGACTTCGTGGCACAGCATCCTTGATTCGCACAATGGGCTTAGCTTAACGCGCCTCAAGAGGACAATGTTGGGGAAACTGAAACAATCGCATGGTAAAAGCACTGCATCCCTAACAAATCCAAAAGGCATGTGCGGACTGCGTGTCACAGAAGCTGTGCCCACGTTATGATCGGCGCCTTCCATTATTTCCAGGGCGAGGAGTGCGCCGCAGACCTGCTGACCCCATTTCTGGGTGCCGCGGGGGAGGGGGAGGGGGCGGGGGCGGGGGCGGGGTCGAGGCCGCGGGCGCAGCAGCAGCAGCCGTCTGCGGACGCCAGGGGCGGCGGCACGCACCCACCGGCCAACAAAGGGGCATTGGGAGCCGGCGGGCGGTCCGGCGGGACGCGCTGTCGGCGGGGGCGGGGGCGGGGGCGGTACGGGGAGCTTCTCTGCACCTGTGGCGTCTGAGCGGTCAGCTGGGGTCTGCTGAGGGTGGGAGATCAATGACGCCCAGCGCTGCACAACACAGGGCAGCATACAAACCGTAAATGTGCTTCCAATCACGGATACTAATCATGGTCCACAACAGCGCCCACTGCACTAGTGGCTACCGGGTATATTTAACTCTGAAGGCCTTAATCGAATGGTTTATGGTCGGAAATATCGACAGGGAAGCGTGAGCATGCACCGTTCCCTCCTTTTACAGGTACCTGAGGCAGGACAGGGGCTATTGTCGGACACCTTTGTCGCTTAACAATGGACATTGAACAATGACCGACTGCGTACGTCTGACGTGCTTACTAGAGAACGATATTCGAATAAGCAAACAGTCCCACTCTTGCCCATAAGCACTAACACGTTCGCCATCCACCTCTGTCTGCTGGACCAGCGGCGGCACCTCTGGATCAGCGGCGTCACCTCTCTGGATCAGCGGCGTCACCTCTGGATCAGCGGCGTCACCTCTGGATCAGCAGCGGCACCTCTGGATCAGCGGCGGCACCTCTGATGGATCAGCGGCGTCACCTCTGAATCAGCCCTTCCCTCTCGATCAGCGGAGTCCCCTCTGATGGGATGCCCGACGGTAGTCACGGGCGGTAAATCATCTGTAAATCCGGCGTCCAGCAGATAGGGACCTATAAGCCGGTCTAGTCCATCACCGCATCACATCACCAGAAGACGGGGAGCTGCTGGCTACTAGATGGTGACTCATCACCTGTGCCCGCACCGCGAGTAGCTCTGTCGAACGGGCGGCGTTGACTGACCGACAAAAGCGCATGGCACGGAACACTTGGCTAAATGCCTTCACTGAAGCCATCTTAGTTTCCGTAAAACAAGTATGCACTTTGTGTCAATTAATTATCCGAGTCAAAGGCGTGCTTTGAACCAGTTACTATGTGGTTATCAAGCAATGGTGGTTCAAATGGAAGTGGCCGCATAGGTAAAAACGTTTAATTTTAAAACTTTAAGCGCGGCAGCAATCTACTGCAAAATATGTGAAGGAAGATAATGTTTACGCATACGAAACGCCAAAAAAGAAAAAAAAAAGAAATAACAAAAGAAAACAAAAACACAGAAAAACAAATAAGACTCGTATCAAAAGGTTTGCCTGAATAAAATATAAACTTTGAATATGCTTTTAGTTTTCGAAAGTGATATAAAAGCTTACACCTTAGAATTACGTTACAAAAGAAGCAAAACATCACTTATACCTCTAAAAATATCGAATATATGTATAGCGGAGCAAATAGTAACGCACCTGTTGGTACGCCCGTTGCGTGATAGTTCTGAGTAGTGTTTAAGCACTAAGACCACCGATTTTAGGAGTTTCAAATCTTGATGTAAAAAACAGCCTTATTGACTGTCGCAAGAAGTGATCCTTCGGAACTTTTATAGCTGATCAATCAGCAGCGCTGTCAAAGGGCGCCTCCGCGCTAAGTTTCCAGTTGGCGCGGTCCGGCCGGGCTGAGCTCTGCCGTGGTGTGGGGACGTCATGAGCAGTACGGACGGCGAGCGTAGCGACCTGGGTGTCTCCCACAGCCGGACGGTG